CCAAAATCGAATTTTTTAGCCGGGTGAACGTTGATTCCAACTATTTAAGCGACGGGCTATTCAGAACTCTCAAAAGCCACAGGGTCAGATTTTCGGCTTTTACTTGGAACAATGGTCAGATTTGTTAACATTTTCATTTTTTATTTGGATAATGCATGCAAGCGTAGGGACAAGAGTGGCTAGAATAGATTCTGCTACCTTCTCCCCTTGTTGGGTAAAAATGTCAAGCCTCCACATACATGCATCTCCCCTCTACCCTCTCATGAAATGTCGATTTTCGAGATTAAAAAAAAAACAATAATTGCATTTTTTATTTCAATAACGCATGAGTAAACAGGGATATGAACGCAGATTTAATATAGGCCCATAGAATTACGGGGACCGGCAAGGATTTGGAAAGTCTGAATACAAGTCCTGCTTACACCTAACAAGTGCTGAAATGGGACATAACCAGACGTAGAAAGGTCTCGGAAGCACTTGGGAAGAGGCTTCCCAAGACCTATCCAGTTCTGAACGGAAAGACCTAAGTAGAACTTGTCAGGTCCAATTATTCGACTCGGGCTCTAGATTTCACTCTGATTAAACCCGACATTGGCTCGTATTGTTATTTTTTGCATCAGCTTAAAGGGGAAGTATATCGATGGCATCTGGAGTTAACGAGTGCCTGTCATTCCTACGGATGTGTATGACTATGGTTGCAGGGTTCAAACGTGTTTGATCGATACAACGACGATGTGAAAGTCCCCTGGAATGTTCGGGTATTCAACGATCTTTCGACTTTTTTCTTCCTAATTTGATTAGGGGAAAAGTCGTGAACAATTTGACAAATATTCTTACCTTTCGCGTTGAGTCCGGATACATTGTATTGACCGGGTCCGGGACCAGGGCTCTCATTTTTTTGTGAATGTCTATAAAAAGAGAAATTATTTTTATATCATATTTTTATTGTCAAATATTTTCGAATTCATCAAGACTGTTTAATAGGACAGGTATTGGAGACAGCTGAGCTCATTTTTTTTTTGTTAATGCTGAAAATCTACATTATATTTTTGTTCAGAAGCTAGTATATTCACCTGCTGCCAAATGAAAATGCAGGGGCTCTTCCTCTTTTAGAATCTGGAACAGTTTTGCCTGAAAAAAGTAAAAAAATGGATTTAAATAACTGTAATTAGTGACAATCTCAAGTGCTTGCCTATAAGTGGTGGCAGGGTGACGCAAGCTGGTCCAGGACTTCCAAATTCAGCGGCGATCGGACCCCTGCGCTTAGTCGGGGTCCACGATCTCTGAGTCATTCCACCCATGTCTCTCCTATTTCAGAATTCAATCGAAAATTCCTGGAAGAGATTATTTGCATGTCAGTGAAGTGAGGCGAGAAGGGCGGACCTTGGGACAAGGTCGGGTATGAGGTATATACATCAAACGATATGTGTGTCGAATGTAAAGCATGAAAGTGGATCACGAACGATCGATCGATAGTCTCCAATGAGTTCTTACGATTTTTCCTTGTTCTGGGGAAATATTTAGTATTCACTGGTCGGGGAGATTTCCAATTCGGGAAAATTAATTGGACTCCTGGCAGGGACGTTGGATATATCGGATCAACTCACGCACGGGTATTTAATTCGATGACAAAGAGGGTACACGTGATAAGTAAGTTTTTGCATTAAGTGGATATTCTTGGAAATTGGAAATAAAATAGCTCGAAAAAATTTCATAGAAAAATCTTGCCAAGTCGCTAGACAATTCTATTCGTTTTGGAACAAAAAAAAAAATCGAAAGACAATTTTATTAGAAATATTATTAACCATAGAAGTCTTCATTAGGTCTTAAAGTGTTTTTTCCTAGAATTAATTGCATATTTAACAACATATGAAGTTGATATAATAACAAGGACTTGTTTTATTCTGAACTTGATCCTCTCGTCTCTTGACGAAGAAAACCTCATTGTTCCCAACAACAACCGCGATCTTGTTGGGCATTGGCATGAAATTGTGCAATTGCGCGTATACAGACGGCCTCGAAAATGTATCCCTGGTCAGAGGTGCAGATCGAGTCATAGACATCCATATAAGAGCATGCCCATGAGTGGCTTTTCTGCCATCGCCCACCGACCGCAGACCACTTTACGTATTTCGAATCCCCCAGAATCGAAAGAGGAGGATTGTAAAAAAATCCATTAATCTTTGTTTGAGTTTTTTTTTGTTGAGAATCGGGTGACATTGGGTGCGTGTCAATGTCGTCGGCACCTCGATCAAAACTTGATATGCGACTTGACACACGTCTGAGGACATGTCGTAGGTGGCATTCAAAGCCAACTGGTCTTAGACACCCCGGGACAAGGAATTAAACACCTCAGAAAAAACTAGCGAATTCGCTAAAAAATTCTATTGGTTTTCTGTTGAATTTTATATAAGATTTTGGCCGACTCTATTTGAAAGTTCTGCAGCTCCTAAAATTTTTCAAGCTTTTTTTTTGTTTGATTTCAATGAAAAGAGAAGGAAAAACTTGGAAATATATAATCCGCGGAAAAATAGAGCTTCAATGAAATTTCCGAGTGAAAGTAAAATAGGTTTTTTCTGTTAAATCTACGTGCTTAGTATGTGCTTAGAATAATTATTTTTTCAAATCAAGAATTTTTAAATTCAATTGAAAAATTCACAAAAAATTGTAATTCCTAATACATATTCACATTATTCAAATTATTGAAAATTCAAACTTTTTTTAGAATCTTCAATTTATAGTCCCCGGTGAATTAAAATAAAATAAGCATCCAAATAATCCACAATGCTAAAAATTGTGCAGAAATTAAATTTGTCATATTTTTATTCCATCCGATGACTAATATTTTCTCGTAAATTGACTCCCGTAAATAATTGCTTAAACGATGTAGTCGAAATGAAAACTGGCGCGAGTCTCCAAAAATGGCAAACATCGCACACATAGCCAGCATTCAACGTAAAAAAATCATTCCAGATGGAATAAATGTATAACTACTAACTATAATGACGAAGTAGCATGAATTGCGGGGATATGTTGGTATCGATAAATACGGGTTTGCACGTGGAATAACATTATCCCAAAATGGAAATGAAAGCCTGGGTGACCGAGGGAATGAAGAATTAGAGGATAAATAGAATTTAGCTAAAAAGGCAATGCTTTCATTTTTCGAGTGAAGCAGAGTTGTTGGGGCGCAGTGCATATTCCGCCAGATATTATCTCTAATAAAATTCGTTTATTGACCAGGCCTCAACAATGGAGAATTAACAGATCGATTTTTCATGATTTCATCAAGATAACGGGATAATTACGAATTTATGGATTTTAATGTAATTAAACTTGGCTATGCGGTGATTCATTTACGCTACTAATACACACTCAACTCCATTTCCATCTTTGACATTTTACCTTCACGTGTATTTACATCGTTATTCGAAGGAATATCTAAGGTCACACATACTCGTGGACTCGTTGTAAGATCTGTTGGACAACTTGAAAAATGTAAATAGTGAGACTAAGCTGTATTTTTAAAAATTACATCTCATCACTTGGAAAAATTACAGAATTTATTGTAGTAGTGAAGCGATGGATTATGATTAGGTTTATGAACAAATTGAATGGAAAGGCACATCACCCTAACAAATCATCTAGACAACTAAAAAATTATTAATTTTTGGAATTTGTCGAATTTTTTAAAGAAATCTGAAAAAACTTGATAAAATTATAATATAATTTGGTGTTAATGATTTTCAATGTAGTGATAAAAAAGAATACTTTAATTAACTCAAACAATATTTTTTTTTTCAAAATCCAATGACAATTTCACTTTTAAAATGCGAAAAATTCACGATACAAAAACCTCAACCCAGAATTTTCTTGCACAAATTCGCGACTTGGCCGTCGCATCCTGCTCATTGAAAAGAAAAAAAATCCTCTAAAAAGATAAAAACGCTAGAAATCAGAATTTTTCCCCCGAAGTGACACACGAGCGATTTGTAATTTCAGCCACCGCAGCCACAATATCTTGACTTACCGAAGCGAAAGATGATCCCTCGAAATTCAAAACCAACAATAAAATATCTTGGTTCGTTTCCCGCAGTCCTCAATCAAACACCTCACCTTCTCAATATTATTCAACGAGTTGTGAAATTCGAATAGTCGAAAAACAATATGTAATGTGATTCGCGCAACCGTTGAGTAGTGAGTATTGGCGGTTGTCTAACCAGGAACGGTAAGTAATCACTGATCCAGTTGGTAGCGCGTGGTACTCCCCACTCTCCTGGCATGTCTCCTCCGCGGTTGATAGGATGCGCACACACCCCCTCTCGAACAATAGGCGCACGCATCGTCATTTTTCCGCCCTTCGGACCGCTCGCGCTCAATTTGGATTTACAGGCGGGGTTCAAATGTCCAAAAAAGCGTGACGTAATTGTTGAATGCTTCCAGTTATCGTTATGTAAAAAATATACATTTTTACGTTAGCTTTGCGCGGAGACTCAGACAAGATTTTAGAAAAAATGGTTGAGAAAAAAAAGCCTTCTGTTGAGATGTTGATAATGTTAACAACTAAAGAAAGATAAACACAGCGATCAACCGTAATGCCCCCCTCCCCCCCGCCCACTCCTGCATTCATACAAGTGGAGAAGAGGAACATCGAAAGAGAAGGAGAGAGAGAGAGAGAGAGAGAGAGAGAGAGACAGACACAAAGTGGAGGCATGATGACCGCTGTAGTGGCTTCAGGTTCAGTCTGGTGTGTGTGGTCACCACCAATGGCCTCACACAACGTGAAATTTTTTCTACCATCAATTCGTAATTCGCATCTGTCAACGGGTGACAAACGTAAGTAGTTTTAAGTTATTATCCTCGGAATTTTTATCGAAACTGCATTGCTCACAGCGTCAACAAGTTGTAAGTTGAATTTTTGAATCAATTGGTTTATCCGCACTGAGGGATTCATGAAGGCAGAATATACCCAATGGGAAGAATTCACCCGTGCGAAGCAGGAAGTCCGAGCTTCCGGAGTTAACTAATTGTGCTAGAGCCCTTTATTACCTCGCTCCACGAAAATAAGGAATTTCGATTTATTTGGGCGTGAATGACGCTTACCTGTTTTCAACTGTCTCATCTTGCTGTCTTTGTTGCTTTTGTGGTTGATGGTGTACCTTCATGGGGAGACGGCGATGATGGCTACACAACCGTGACGTCTGCTCTCCCCCCAGGAATGACATCATTGTCACGGCCGTGTGCAGCCCACGCGTGAATTCAATTAAAGATAAACCATATGTACACGTCATTTTATCTCGCTTCAATGCCATTCCCTCTATTCAGATCCAAATTTGGAGCAAATTGGTGAGAGAAAATTGCAATACAGCAAAAACCAATGTCTGAATTTCGCCGGAAAACGGCAGAATAATAAAATGAAAATTTGTCTGATTTTATTCAGATGTTTTTTAGCATCTGAAAAATGTCTCCTACAAAACTACAAAAGGTCAATAGCGGAAAAATCCTATAGAATTTCCTCGGCCCTAATTTTCTAATGTTTTTCTTTTTCATTTTTTTCAAAATAATAAAATCGCGGAATTGTCAGTAAAAGTTTTTAATAAAAATTGATGACTTGCGGTCCATAAGCCCTGAACCTTGAATTCCAGTTGAAAAATGGAGTCAGAAGATGAGGAACTCCTCCAACTGAGCATTCTTCGCACGGAGAATCCGAGCCTCTACAAGATCCTCCTAGACAGTCTCCTTGCGAACCACTACGCGGTCTTCAAGAGTCTCCTGCAGAGGGGCCTGCAGAAGCACCCTCCCAGCATCAGCATAGATCACCGCTACCCCTACCCCACCAATAAAACCCTCCTGGACGTGGCCAGCAGCGAAGGTCGCCCGGACTTTGTTAAACTCCTCCTCGACTTTGGCGCGTCCCCAAACCGTATAAACGAATCCCACAACCGCGCCCCAATCCACTTCGCCGCGGAATCAGGTCACCATGACGTCATCCTCGCCCTCCTCGACGATCCAAGGACGAACCCGAATTTGGAGGTGGGCCGGGAAACTGCCCTTCACTTTGCCGTGAAAAATAAGCATCTCAAGTGTGCCAAGGTCCTCCTGGAGAACAATTCCAGTCCAAATGTGCCGAACAACAGGGGGATAACGGCCCTCCATTCGGCGGCAACGGCCTCCAACCGAGAGATGGTGGAGACAATCCTGAATCACTCGAGACTTTCCCCGGACGTTGATACCTTCCGCGACTTTCGAAAGCGATCGGCCCGGCAAATTCTCAACGACAAGTTTCCGGATCTGTCTCTCCCTCCTCCGGGCGGGGAGAAGCCCGTGGACTTCAACACCTTGAGATTCTATCTGGACGCCAACGACGAGCATCACTTCCTGGAGAAGCTAAAGTCCGTGGCAGAGGAGGGCACCCAGTCGGGGAGACTGGAGGGCGAGGACAAGTTGATTGTCATAGCAGCCGAGAGAAACCTCAAGACAGCTGTAACCGAGCTCCTACGACGAATAAGGGAGGTAGGCAGCGTTCCCCGAGCAGCTCTGGAAGCGGCTGTGAGAAGGGGCCACCACGACATTCTCGGTGACTTGTTGAGGAGCGGAGTTAAAATAGACAACGAGGTGTTGATGATAGCCTGCCAGCAGCTCGGAGTGCCCTGCAGGTTTGGCGTCGAGCAACAGTCGAGGATAAAGTGCCTGAGGCTTCTTCTGGAGCAGCCGGACGTGCAAGTGCGAATAGAAGACGAAAAGGGCAACTGTCCCCTGCACTATGCAGCTAGAGCAGAGGATCCCGAGGCGGTGGAGCTCCTCCTGAAGGCCGGCAGCTTTATAGGTCACGCTAACGCCTTCGGTGTCCCCCCTATTGCCCACATCTCCCCGAAAGTTCTGGAGGACCACCTGGACTCGTGCTTGAGAAGCAAAAGTGATAGAACTGACGACTACGAGATTGAGTTCGATTACAAGTGCCTCATGCCGCATGCGCACTCGGTGGCCAGCAGTTTCGAGGAGACCAGCCAAACTCTCCTCCCCAAGCGTCGGTCGGACGGTTGGATGTACTCATCCAACATCGCCGAGATGGAGACGTTGTCATACATATCTAAGAGCTCTTCGTTGAAGCATCTCCTCAAGCATCCCATTGTCGCCTCCTTCCTCCACCTCAAGTGGCACAGTATACGACACATCCTCTACGCCAACTTGGCTTTCTACGTCTTCTTCTACATTTTCATCAATTGCTACATTCTCGTACTCAACTACAAGCCAACGAGCCTACTGGAGGACGTGAGCGTCAACTCGTCGACAATTGTTCTTCTGAGGAGCGAAGGACAGCTGGACGGCCTCTGGAGCCTCACAGCCATTTTTCTGGTGGGTCTGACGATCCGCGAAGTCCTTCAGCTGTTATCGTCGCCCAAGCACTACATCGTGAGCTTTGAGAACTGTCTCGAGGTGATTCTGATATTTCTGGCAGCTGCGGTTCTCGCTGGGGCGGGCCGACAGGTCGGGGCACTTGTTATTCTCCTGTCTGCCTGGGAGCTCGTCATCCTCATTGGACAGCACCCCAAAATGTCGACGGGCATCGAAATGTTCAAGACTGTGACCTGGAACTTTGTCAAGTTTCTCTTTCTCTATGCGTTCTTGATCCTAGCTTTTGCCCTGGCGTTCGTCACTCTCTTCAAGGACATCGGGGATGACAATTTCTCGGATCCAGGGCACGCTCTCTTCAAGACCATTATCATGCTCACTGGGGAGTTCGATGCCTCGGACATTCCCTTTGTGTCTAGACCGGGGTTGAGTCACGCCATCTTCATTCTCTTTGTCTTCCTGATTGCCATTGTTTTATTTAATCTCTTGAATGGGCTTGCGGTAAGTGACACTGCTGATATCCTCGGCAAGGCCGAGCTCGTTGGCCTCATCTCCAGGACTGAACTCGTCGCCTATGCGGAGAGAGTGGCGGTGGGCACCAGGTTCAGCTCCAGCTCCAGCTCCAGCTCCAGGAGGTCATGTTTGTGTCCGTGTCCTACGTGTCCGAGCAAGGGGGTGGATTTTTTGGGATTCGTCAGGAGGAGGTTGCTGCTGTTTTCTAGGCATCTGGTGCTTGGCAAACTCGGGGTCAAACCTTACAAGGGCAATTACATCACGTTCCAGGGGGTCGAGGCGGGGAAGATGAGAGGCTGCAGGGGGTTGACTATGGATTCTCTGATCGTTAACAGGGCGAGGGATATCCTGAGGAACAGGAGTAAAGTCAGTGAGTATCAGACGGTGATGGCGGAATTGGAGATCATCAGGAGCTGGTTAATGAGACTGGAGGGGAACTTGAAAGCAGTTTCGAGGGGGGCAGAGGAGGAAACTGAGGGGATTTAAACTGAGGGGTTGCTCATTTTTCATTTAATACTTTTGGTTTTAACGACTTTGACTTTGAAGATTTTGACTGTCCCAGATTAATCTTTATTAAGAAAAATATACTCATTTGCGTTTAGTGGCATTTGTTAATGAGTGATAAGCAGATCAGAGTTTTAATTACACTCTCCCCTCTCTCAAACTTTTATTTAAAAAATTCATCATTTCACTTTCATTTACATCAGATATTTAATCATTTGTAGAGGAGTTTGAAGAAGATTTCGAGGGGGCAGAGGTGGAGAATGGTGAGGAACTGATGAGGCTTCAATTCATTCAACTATTCATATTCAAAAAAATAATCTTAATCATTGTTATCATACACAATTTTAAGTTTGAGAGCATTGATATGACGTCAAAAGTATGATCATAATCTGCTGATTAAATGGTGCAGATTAATCTTCATTCAAAAAAATAGACGCAATTGCGTTGATTTGTACGTCGTTAACGAGTGATAAGCAGATCAGAATTTTTCTTAATTACATTTTTCCATTTTTTCAACTTTTACTTTTGTCTTCTTTTTGTTTCATTTGTTTATTTTCATTCGTATCGTTCATCAGCCTGACACATCCTGCGGATGAGTCGTCTTCTCTGCATTCCGTCGGACCAGAATATCAGTGTAGAACAAATTAAAGTCCAATCTGAAATGAGGCAATATGATAATTTCATCGAGAGCATTTAATTCAATAAGTTTTACTAATAATGTTTTAATGTTTGTAGAGATTGAAATAAAATGACTGAAGTATTACCTGCATAGTACATTCAATAGCTTCTCATTGTTGTTGTCACAGCCTAGATCACAGATTCTGTTCAATAAACGAGTTAATACTTCTGTGAATTTGGCATCCAACGATTCAATTGTCTCCTCAAAGCTGCCGCTAGTGTTGCTGGGCTTTGTTTTGTGCTCCTGATGAGTAAATTTACTCATTAATAATTCCATCAAATAATTCAAGTACGAAAAAATTTAATAGAAAATTCTACTAGAATTTTATTACAATTCCCATTCATTTCTTGTCAATTCAAACTTGCAAAGAAGTTGCAAGTTTAATTTTTTATACTGAATATTTTCTATTTTTGATATTTTCATTCCAACTACGTATGAATCGATTTCTCTACTAGATTTTTTCGTACGTATTATATCCAATTGAATAGTTGAAAAAAAATATATCCTATACATATATAAAAGAGTCAGTAAGAATGAACAATGCTTGTGGTTTTTAATGCAACACAAGCAATAGAAAAAATTTCAGTAATTCGATCAATTCCATCCATTCAAACATTTCCATAATGCTATGCTTACCTGTTGTATTCGAGATTCATTAGGAAATTTAGTGTAATAAGAAACATTCTGACCAGGCAAAGGACCAATACATTCTGACTCATCAGGATAACAATGAATTAGTGATTGAATCAAACATACACGAGGATAAAAATTCTAAATAATGAGCATAATCTTTTCATTATAATTCTCAATGTCATCATTATTATCGTGTAAAAATACATGCGAGTAAATATATAGAACTATTCTAATGTTTGTATGCAAGCTCTGATGCTACTATTCTATCTCTAATGCACGTTAACATGAAAAACTTGAAATTCCTGGTAATACCTCGTGTTCATAGTGTTCTTGGTGATGTTCGTCGATCATGGATGTCAATTCTGCGTCAATGTAATATCGGCTCATACGCTTGTCAAATTTTTAATATTATTAATTCAGATAGTATAAAGAAGTGAAAATATAATTGAAGTAGCTGTCAGAATATTTCTGTACAATATTAGTATTCTTGATGGCAACATGTACACAACTGTAAAACCATGCAAGGAGATTGGTTATCAGAATTTTCGTGTGAGTTACCTGCATGAAGTCGCAAAATTGCATGCAAGCCCCACAAATTCCAGTAATGCAGGATAATAATTCAGGATCTGTCAACATGCACTCCTTCAGGTAGCTATCTTGGAGATCCTGGTGGACACTGAGGACATCATCGACGTTGCTCACCTGATGTGGAATTAAACAAAATGATGAAAAATTTCTCAATTCTCATTTGTTTTCAATTCAATTGTTGACTTGGCCTACTCAATTCATAATGCATAATGAATATTTGAGAAAAAAAATCTCACCTTGCTCATCTTACTAATAAAAGTCAACCAATTAGGTTCAATAACCTCCACCATCATATAATACTCCAAGTGTTGAACACAGTCCAGCATTCTCTGTCTCAACGAGAAAGCCTGTCTGTACGCCATAGCGACATCATGGGTGAAAGTCTTGGCGATTTTATTGCTCATCCAGACCCTGCAGAGGAGCCTCTCGATATGCTTGCAATAAAAGAGATGCCTGAAGAGCATCTGATAGCAGGCAATAGCCCTCTTATTAATGATGAGTGACACAGGCCACTTGACATCATAATTGAATGAGAAAGCCTCCATTCCAGTGAGAGTTTTCCCAGTCTGGGCACAGTATTCCCTCTCATCGCTTGTCTGAATCGACAGAATTCTGAACATTTGGTACTCGAGGTCGAAGGGCAGAAGTTCAGGTTTGAGGTCATCCTTGTAGGGATCTGAATCAGCTGTGGAGGTCCTCAGGGCGACTTCCAGGAGGGAAGCGAGTCTGTGTAGGACAATATCATACATGTTCTTGCTTAGTTCTGCTTCGCAGAGGTTCAAGAACTGGACGACAAAGTCCCCTTGAGCCAGGAGGAAGTAGTTCTTTACACTCTTCAGTCTTCCCATGAGATCATTCTCGTGAATTAATACTTCTAGGAGGGTTCTGGCTGCCTCTAAATATGCTCCATCGATAGCTAATATATATTTTTGATCCCTGTACCTGGAATGTGAAAATTCGTAATAATTTTTAAATTTTTATTTATTTTTTTTTTTTTTCAATAATGTTGGATAAAAACATGTTGCCAAAAGCTTGGAAATTTTTGAATAAAAAAATCATTTCGATCTCACCTATACACAAGAGGCTCTTGTTTCCTCCATTGCACAGTCTTGCCACACTGCCTGATGACATTGAAATACTTGCCAGTCCTGAGAATAGTGTGAGCATGTTCACTCAGAAATACTGGAATCCTCTCTGGTCTCATGGTGTAGCGTTTCTCCCAGTAATCAGCTGAGTAGTCCATGGGTAAGTCCTCCCTCTGTATAACCTCGTTGTCCTCAACAAGAAACTCCTGATAGGGGTCACAAATAACCCCTTTATAAACCCACTTCTCGAGGATCTGCATGTAGGGAACACTGGCTGACTGAATGAGGAAGAGACAGAGCTCCTTGCACTTGGCTTCACCACTCATATTGCTGACTTGCTCGTAGAGTAGAGAGAGGACTTTTCCACCTCGTGCTCTGGCCTTGCAGATGGTGCAGGTGATTTGGGAGAGGATTGACATGGTTGACATTGTTGGTTGGATGTAAAACCAGAGCTTCTGGAGGTTCAGCTTGCCCCGTCGATGCTCCATCTCCAGTTGTACGACGAATAGGAGGTAATCCTTGAGTAAACAACTGAGGGCACCTCGGAGGGCGTGGTTCACTTGGCCATCGTCAGCGTGAACTTTTTCCTCTACAAATCTATTTGAAAAAGAATCATCATTATTATTAATGCACTATGACAAAAAATAAAATCAACGTCGTAATTATTTTCCCAATGTCCCTTGAGCTTTCTTATTAAAATAAATTATCATATCATGGAAATGAAAACAATCATTATATTTTCCCCCCTGAAACAAACCTGACAGTCATGGAGTAATAACTGGCAAGAGGAAGTATCTGCTGAGCCAATTGCTTATAAGAAGTCCCCACATCCGACGAAATGACAAAGCTCTTGACATCATAAGGTCCAGTAAGGGGTTCAGACACGATGTAGGACCCATTCATCCCCTTGAGGCAGTGCAGAAGGTCCCAAAGTAGAATAGCCTCCTGGGACACAGCAGGGACAACCTTCTGGTAGGGGTTCAGAAACTCTGGATGGAAATCCCAGGATATCCTTGGTCTCTCTGTCACCCAGTTGTGCCTCACCTGTTCGGTATCCCCTCCTCTCTTGCTAAGTGCATTCGCCTGCTTGATAAGCTTCCTCTCACCCTCGACTGCTGCTTTCATCACGTTCTTCTGGATCTGGGGGAGGTCCTCAGCTGTTATCTTGTCCCAGGTGCTGAGTCTGCTCTGCTCCATTGGCCTACAGTGCTTGCTCAAATACTCTTTAAGGTGCTTGTCCGATGATATCAGATGTATCAGCTGCATAAATGATCCCAGTCTGTCCACTTTCTTCTCTCTGAGCTCCTCAAACTTGTTGAGAAATTGTTGGGGGTTCTGTGCATGTTTCTCCAGCTGTCTCAGGGTAGATTTCGAGGGGAGGTTCTCTGGTACAGAAACTCCCTGCTCCACGTCGTTGACGAATTTTTCCGGGGGACTCGAGGAACCCAGGAGGGCTGTCAGCTCCGTTATCAAAGCGTGCAGCCGAAATTCACTCATTTTTTTAACAACTTTTTTAGCTCGTTAATTAATGTTATTGATAAAACATTGTGATTGTCGCTCTAGTTGGATTTTTTTCGGCGGGAGAACATTTTTTGGGGGACAGTTTGCTAGAGGATGGTGGCAGTAGGGCTTTTTAACGTATATGGGCCGGAGTGGAGGGGGGGGGGGCTGTTTATTGTTCTTACGGCCCGGCCTGCGCGCGATTAGTAACTTTTTGTTGCAACTTTTACCCCCTCGCGTAATATATTTTAAAATATATTCACCTCTTCCCCATGAATTCCCTTAAGGCCCGGCCTGTGCGGTTAACAACTTTTTTTTGTTTCCAAAAGAAACAATAGACATAACCTGAAAGTTGTGTGGAAAAGGAAGGAAAACAAGGTAGAAATCTGTTGTACCAGCTCGGAAGTTCGTTCCAAGCCGAAATTAGGAAAAATTAAATTTAAAAAATAAAAAATCAATTCCCAAGCGCTAAATCGAGGTTTTTTGGCTTTCCCAAATGATTTTGTATTGATTCAAGGGGCTAACTATACGCCATAGACAAAGTATTTCATTATAAGTAAAAACTATTATTAGTTTCTAAACTACAAAATTCTATTCCTAAACTATCCCAAATTATTTCCAAATGATTGGAATTGGTTTCATCTGGAAATTGATAATTTATTTACCTGCTAACTGTATGTCTGTTCGATGTTTGAATAAAAATTCGAATTAAATAAACAGGAAAATCAATGGGAGATTTTTGAAAAAATAGATAAATTTCAATTCGTTGGGGCTTTATTTTCTTTTTGTTTGAGATTAATATCTGCCAACACTAATATAATGACCAATGAACGCTCAAGGACACCGACACACCTCCTAACTGAAGCCAATAATCCTTAACCGTGAATCACGGAGGAGATATTGGTAGTCGTCTCACATTTATAAAATCATACATAGTACCCCGATCACCCCGAAATACTTATAGTCGAGAAAAAAAAATGAACAACCAAAAAGACACCCTGTTAATAGAAAAAATGAATGATGATGGAATAAATTTTTCAATTAATACTAAAATAATGATTATTTGTCGTTTGAAATTCAGAGAATTGAAGAAGAAGTACTGTGGTATTGGGGCGCGCGCGTGTGGCGTGCATACCCCCCCCCCTGACGATTGGCCTTAGCAATGTAAAAGTCGGCCTAGGACTTTGAAGAGTCTCAGGTTTGTCCTCTCTTTCAATCGGAATCTCTGACTCAGCCGCGTGAGGTGTTCGGTGTGGTGTAAGATAACTCGTAAAAGAAAAGGACAATTATCTTCTACCTCTTCAATTATTCTTCGTAATCAATTTTTCATAATTGATAAGCCATTATAAAAGCAATAAAGCAATAAAGTCGGCGACTCAGCTAATTGCTGCACAAACTTGAAGCGGACCAAATTATTATTATTATTATTATTATTACTATTATTTTCTTGTTCGATTGTATGTCCATTTGTACATTATTGCTTTGTTGACGTAGAAATTTATTTCTAAAAGTTAAGTTATGGCATTTTTGAAAACACTGCCGCGTTATTGTGCAAGTAGAAAATTATTAAAGTTCTTAGAATCAGGATTGACAAAGAATGAGTCGAAAAGTGTAGTACAGCTGGTGAAAAATGTCGAAGAACGTGGATATTCAACGAGTCAGTCCGAGGGACAGCCGGTAAGCAGGCAAATCGATCCACTAGACCTCAAGTTTGACGATCCAGTGGCATCATTCAAAAGTAAAACTACCATGGAACTTATTAGGGCATACATTGTTTATCAAATTTGCTCCATCGACTATGTCGTTGAAAACAATATGAAGGTGAGTCCAATCATTATTATTCATATTTTTCCAATCAGTGGAACCCTCATCGCCGCTTCCGTATGTATGTATGTGTGCTTATGTGGCAGAGAAATTGGTGGCGTACGCGTAATCATATGTATCCTGTAGCGCGTTTGGTACGCTTGTGTACTATGTACACGTTAATGGCGTTTCTAGTTGCAAGTTATTGTGTGCTGTCTTGCTTTCCGGCAATCCAATGAACAACCAACGTGTCTTGTACTCATTTTTCATTTTCTCATCCATTGCTCTCTGTCTTTTGGAGGTCCGTGTAGGAGTGATTATTTTTAGAATTTAGGAATTTTGTAATTTTGACGACCTTTGCCCCCCCCCCAATGCCTCATTTTTATAGAATTTCAAAGTCTTTCAGGGCCACATATTAATAATTGTTATTTTTCATTCTTTATCCTGTTCTTGCTGTGTTCTTCCCTTTTTAAAAATTCATTTTTTATACTGATAAAATTTATGTGTTAATTTTTATATCATGTATTTTTTCCCGCTGTATGAGAAAGTAATGTGAGACTCGATTGATTGTAATCGCTTCGTTGAGTTTTTCATATACTATTCCTTCCAGGTTTATTATCTATTCTGATAATAAATACGATTTAGTTTAAGTATGATTGCACACGTGGAGAGATATCCATTGAATCTTATCATGGCTCAATCAGTTGTGGAAAAATTGCACTATGAATTGTATTCTTTTCTTAACTATGTTTCCAATATATTAAATGGGCTTATTGGGCTTCCACAATCTATGAAGCAATTTAAAGTCAATCAGTAAGGTTTCACTGGTTGCCTTGTGGTTTGGCTTCTTGAGAAGCCAGTCTTGTGAAATAATTTCATGTTGACCTGAAACAAAAATAAAACCGGAATATTTGGCTTAGAAATTTAAGTAAAAATGCATGCCGCCATCTCGTGCGTCATTCTACACAAGTCTAATTCAATTCATTACCCTTGAAGTATTAGTAATTTCACTAGTTTCAAGGTGCACTGATTGCTAAAAATGAATAAATTTAACCATTAAACAGAATAATTATTTCTCTTGGCTTTCCAATTGTTCAGTTTGAAAATAGACCGAGTTTCGAGACTTTGATACATAGTGTGGTTAAACATTCAGTTGAATAGAATCTTTGTGTATATTTATTTCATTTGACTGCTCAGTAATTTTGACAACAAAAAAAAAAACAAAAAAAAACACTTCATTAAATTTCCAGTTCATGAAAGTTGCCAAAGCAGTATTGGGAGAACGAATCTTCACTTTATTAATGAAAATGACGTTTTATGGCCACTTTGTGGCCGGCGAGGATGAGGAGAAGATCAAACCAGTAATCGGACGATTACGTCAATTTGGAGTTAAGCCCATTCTCGATTACTCAGTTGAGGAAGATTTATCACAGGAGGAGGCAGAAAGACGTGAGCTTAAGTGTGTAAAATCTATAAATGGATCATGCCATCACATAATTTTAAACATATAATCTGTTGATAATTTGATTGTAGGGCATCTGTCTCGGAGGCAGGTGATGAAAAAAAAGAGGGAACGCTGAAGAAATATCACGTTGAGAAATCATTCGCTGATAGGCGATATAAGGTATCATCAGCTAGAACGTATTTCTATCTCAATGAGGCATCTTGTGAAAGGAATATGGATATATTCATCAGATGTCTGGAGGCTGTTGGTGGTAATGAAAATTTAATTTTTACAGATGATTTAATTTATCAGTTGACAATTACTCATAAAATTTACCTTCTAGGTGCATCAATGGGCGTTGGAATTACTGCAATTAAATTAACGGCTCTGGGGAGACCGCAGTTATTGGTTGCTATTTTATTTTTATTTTTATTTTTTTTTTTTTCAATAAAAATAATGAATTAATGCAGAAAATTGAAAATTGTCCAATTTATATTTTTAGCTTCAATTGTCGGAGGTCATAATGCGTGCACGGCAGTACATGTCCGATGTTGTCGGTGGTGAGGGAGCTGTATTAGCACATCATGCTAAACCAGATGATTTTAAGAAAAAATTCGAAGAGGCCCATATTAAAGATGCGGTGCCGGTACAAAAATTCTTGGAGAAGATTCAATCTGATAAAGAAGGGTAAGTTTAAATATTTGTGTGAATTTTTTTTTTATAAAAAATGTGTCAATGTTCTACAAGAAAAATTTCCACGTATAAGAGTGAAAATATTATATTAATTTTTATGGTTGGAGACAACTTGACGTCGATTGAAATAATTTCTGGCTTTTATTAACAATGTCATCGGCAAGTTTATTTTGATAATTGAATATTTTATTACAGTGTGATCCATTTGTTCCCATGGAGTGGAATTCTCGATGAGAATTACGAGCTGAGTGAGACATTCCAAGTACCGGATATCAAGACAGGAAAGATGGTCAAGTTGATGACGCAACTGACAGCTAAAGAAGAAGAAATGTTCAGGAATATGATAAGAAGACTGAACAGCATTGTAACGGTAAGTTACAATGCAGCAATGAAACAATTTTATCACAACTAATGCGAGACAAATAGTAAAGAGTGAAAATAATGTTTCAGGTCGCTGATAAACTCAATCTACGTATAATGATAGATGCTGAACAGACATACTTTCAGCCAGCGATATCGAGACTGACACTGGAAATGATGCGAAAGTACAATACAAAGAAGGTAATGAAATTTTTATTGAACGACGGTCTTGTGTCATAAGAATATTATTGCAGAGAATGAATAAAATGGTGTTGAGGAAGCACTGAGATGGCTGAACGTGGTCTAATTTTGTCTTAGGCAGTCGTGTTCAATACGTACCAGACGTATCTCAAGGAAGCATTCAACGAGGTGAAGACTGACCTTGAGCAGGCTGAGCGTCAAAACTTTTACTTCGGTGCTAAACTCGTTCGAGGGGCTTATATCGAACAGGTATTATCATCAATTAATTCGTTGGTTTAATATTTCAACAAGTAACATTTGTGTTAATGAAGGAACGCGCTAGAGCAGCAGCCATGGGTTATGCAGACCCAACATGTCCAACGTATGAGGCGACTACAGAATCTTATCACAGAACACTAATGGAATGTTTGAGGAGAATGAAGCAGTACAAAGATAAGGAGGAGGATCCAAAGAAAATTGCTATTATGGTTGCCTCACACAATGAAGATACCGTTCGTTTTGCTATTGAAAAGTAATGTATATTATCTTGTTACTTGATCATCATATCAATATTTTCCTGATGATAATTGAAATCATTGAAATTATTATAGAATGAAAGAAATAGGCATTTCACCAGAGGATAAAGTTATATGCTTCGGGCAGCTGCTTGGAATGTGTGATTATTTGACGTTTCCACTTGGTAACTATCAATTCCACTTTTCCTCTTTTCCATCAACTCTATTTCTGTAAATTTAATAATTAACAAATTTAATTTTCCCTTCTCAGGGCAGTCAGGTTATTCTGCATATAAATACATTCCTTATGGACCAGTGAAGGAAGTTCTCCCGTATTTATCACGTCGAGCACAAGAGAATCGTGGAGTTCTTGCGAAAATAAAGAAAGAGAAGCGCTTATTGTTGAGTGAAATAGCTAGGCGCTTTAGAACCGGTCAAATATTTTCCACCCCGAAAGGAAATTACACACCCGTATGATCACTGCATCATGTAAAATTGCCAAATTGATAAATTCAAAGCTCTAGTTAATTTTTGTAAAGTGGACGGGTGCGGAGATTTAAATTTTAAATATTTTCAATGTCCCAAATTTTTTGTCTCCCTGGCTGTAATTATTAAAATCACAAAATAATCAAACTTCTGAATCTCATGTTGTCTTATAGTATTTTTCGTTATTCACTAATCGAATCGAACAGTATTGCGTTGATAGAATGAATTTGGATATACCTATATACTTGGAAAGTTTAATCGAATGGAAAATTGAGATAATCTGAGGGACCGAGTCGGGGGGGGGGGGATCGGTCCAATAGCTCGTAAGATGATTAACATGATATCGATCGATGAAAAAACTGAAAATAAAAATATTATCAATTTTATTTTTAATAAAAAAGAAGAACATCTGTAATTTTGTTTTACATGTGAATCGTCTTTATCTGCAAGAAATCAGTTGAACATTTTCAATATTTTTGTTATTTCACTAATTTATTATATTAACGATGGAATTTTCAAGATCCATTAATGTTCACCATTGGATCAATCTAGTCGTTATTAGAAAGACTTGATTATTATTTTTTCTATAAAGAAGAAAAGAAAACGATTAGAAGAATCATCGTGTGAAGATTTTTACGCAAATCTTATGACTTTTTTAAAACAAATATTTTAGTCAATGAAAAATTCCGGGTATGAAAAATGCATGTATTTCATTATTTTTAAAATTTTTCCTTGTATTGCACATGGCTTTTGTCAATAAATCATGGACATCAACAGATGCAAATAAAAATTATTATTATTATTATTATTATTATTGGTTAATAATGGAGAGTGTGAACTATTATACCTGACAATAATAATGTGAATGTTTAATTCTTAATAATATTGTCTTTTATTCTTTAATTCCATTTAATGAGATAAAATAATTGTCATATTGTAATTGGAAAGACCACCTCTGTTGTCGGTCAGGATATGATTGGAAATCATTGATATGTGAGAATGTGAAATTATTTTCTGTGGAGATACTTTGTAATTAATTTTTTTTATTCACATCAATAATTTGCTCATTCAATTTTCCTCATTTTCTAGGCTTAAAAATGTTTAAATGAAAAAATGAGAAAACTATCCACTATTTGTGTGGATTTACATTGTCATTGCCAATACCACCTCCTATCTCATTGTAGATAGGTAAGCTGTTTGTCTCTAATAAAAAGAGCATCGTTTGGGTGACGATTGCGAATTGGTCATAAAGGCGCTAGAGATTTGCCACGCTTTGCTAGGCGAATCTCTAGCCATGTGTAAGGAATCACTGACAGAAGTAGCATACTAGCAAGACCCAAGACTCGAAGTCGAGTGCAAACGAGTCCATGCAAGCCAAGAGCCAAGAATAAACCAAGCCATTTCCAGAAGAGTGAGGTAGACAGACGTCCTTGCCAGGAAGCCGGATATAATCCAAGGAGCAATGCTAACCAATTATATCTAGTTAATAAAAATAGTCGTAACAATAATAATAATAATAATAATAATAATAAACATTATAAATTAATTATTGGCCACTTACTGTAAATGAGTGTTTCCCAAATAGCATTGCAAACTCCCCAAGCAGCGGATATGACGTTGAATAATGCTGGATCGTCGCCAGCCGGTCGCCAAGTAACCAGTGCCAGTAGTAGGCAGGCGTGAAAGGCAAATCCAACAGCTGGAAAAAAAACAACAATTATAACAATGTCAATGTATTCATTAAATATATTCTTGCCAAAAATTATATACTCACCAACTACAAAGTAGCGTCGTATATGTCGTAGAAGCATCGATAGTGTAAGTCCTGCCACTGCTTGAAGTAATGCTAAACTCAAGAAGCTCAAAGCTACTGCTGATGCACCCCCAAGAGCGCATACAACATAAGCCTGAAAAAAATTTGATTTTATCATAGTTACGGCTATTTCTCAATAAACAATCAGTAATCAATAGTAAATAGTGAATTACTTCTGTGAAATCGCCAATAATAAATCCTTGTTCGAGACCAATAAAAAGTGTAAGTGGAGCTGCGAGTTGTAGTTTTGGATCTTGGAAAGATTGTTTGATGGATTTTAAATGAGTCGATAAACACAAACGTTCATTTCCACTGGTTGGTTCTTTCATTCGCGAATCGAGAAACGCACAAGAAATACCGAACGCTAAAATTGCCAAACCAAGTAATAGACTTATAAGTATTTTAGCGCTGTTTGTTGGCATTGTCGGCAAAAATAATGTTTCATTGTAGAAGTATGTCTCTTGTGGACAATATTCAGCGCCGCATATTTCTTCGACATCCTCTTGTAGGAGATTTGGTAACGGCGGATCGATCATTTTAACAATTACAGTTGCTATCAGACAACCTAGTGAGAAAAACAAATTTTGTTGTGAAATTCTATTTATAAATTTGTCAAAATAAATAATTGACTCATTTTGAGTAACTTGCCCAGAGCTAAGCCCATATCCTCAGCAAGTTTCATTCCCCTGTTGAGTCTCCGGAGAATACAGTCTCGTCTGTTTTCATCAGGATCCTCAGGGTCAGCACAAACAATAGTGAGATTGGTAGCAGTGGCGTTAACATGGGCCGTTCTTGCAATAAATGTTGGCGTCACGAAAATTCCAAATAATGCATAACTTGGTAGGAGAAGGTACCACTTTGGAAATAAGTGGGTACCAATAAATATGGTAGTTACGAGGTGACTGATACTGGTGATGAGATTTGTACCCAATTTCTGAACAACAATTAGGGCGAAACACGAGGTAATGGTAGCTGTGGCATATAATAGGGCCAACAAGAGTGGCCCAAGATGGGGATTGAAAGCTCCTAATCCAGCCTGAAGTGGAAATATTGGCAGACTAGCAGCGGATATTGTCATGTGACCTAGTAAAAGGGCTGCACAGTGGCGTAGTATAACTTTCCGAGGGGGTCGTGGACCAGATGGAGTTGTACGAACGGCTGCTATTAAACGTCGAACTGATGAAGTACCCGCTGACGAGGTCATTGATTCACGCCGACGACAGGATAGTGCCGATGCTCGGGCCGAACGACACGATATTGGTGAATAAGTTGTCATATGCTGAAAAATATATTTCACAATATCATGTTTTAATCTTCAATCGGTCAATATCCTCTGAAGAAATGCAGCTTTCATTGTTCTTGTTGTTGTTCTTCTTCTTCTTTTTCTTTTTCTCCTTCTTCTTCTTTTTTTCTTCTTGTTCTTCTTCTTGTGTTGGGTACATGCCTGAGAAATATTAAAATGTCTTATATTTGCATTTTTACAGTCATGCTATTACCTCTAGAATAGCATCATTATTATCATGCCAAAGTGCATGATGATGCCCACTGCTTCTCACACGGCGATTAGTGTGGGCTAATGGAGGTGGTTGCGGTGGTAGTTTGACAGGTCCAAAACCACCAATTGGCGCTGGTCTATGCACTGGACTCTCGAGTTTGCCTCTGATGGCAAGCTCATGTAGATTCGGTAGTGAACCCATAGTTAAACTCTTAATCCAACACGAGGCTTTACTAATTTATTTCAACGTTTCTCTCAGTTGATTATGTTTTTTCTTCGTTTTTCATCAATGGGGTGTCGATTTATTAAATTTTGTAACACCTCTTGATGCATCCCTCACTCCCCCGTGTGTTCCGTCTTGAGCTGCATGCTCTAAAAGAATTAAAGGAGATTTGAACTATACTGCATGATGATGAGAAAAGTTTTAATGATCGAAAGGCATTCATAAATATTACCAAACACCTGCCTTGATCTCATATCGCGCGCTCTTTACATACGCGGAAGTCTGATTTTAAACACGTTAGCAATGAATATTCAATACTATTAGAATTGAGTGCAGTCAAGCCTCCGATTTGCATTAGAAAAACCCAATAAGCCTGTTAGAATGTAGGCAAACCCGATACTACTCATACGAGCCTCCAATAATGCTCCATTAAAAGATTAAAAAACATTGGTATAGCATTAATAGCAGTGAGTGGACAAAAAATTCATCATATACACATAATATAATGCAACGGTATATGATCATGTCCTATTAGAATATAATCGTGTTAGTCAGTATGCATATTCGATTGGTTTTGTTTTACGTAATATTCATAAAGAATACATGCATAATAATTTGAATGAAATGAATGAACGATTGTCTCAAAGGTGCTGATTTATTACTTCACTTGGTGGAAATTACACTATTATGGGGAATAATACTCAAAGGACTAATGAATGCGTTGGATTTGAACAACAACTGTAACTGTAAATGTAAAAATTATTAATTAATGAAACACTTGTTTGACCTTGACGTTACGTACCTGCTCCACGATTTTTCGAAAACTAATGATCAACCGTTTTCATTTTGATAGCAATAAGCTCTCTCAAGGTTTATCTCAACTTACCAATGTTGATAGAAGTTCATCACTTTGCATATTGCAATAAATTTATAGGAAAGAGTATCGTTCACAATATTCATATTAGTGTAGTGTGATATAGATGTCCACACTCATATTAGGAAATATTTTCACTCACTTTTCGATTATTACAAACACATTGGGAATATTTTCATATGTTCATTCAAATGAAATTTAAATAGGATGCAAACCTTTGAACATTATATCATTAGATTCATCGGCTCTGACAAGTGATCAGTCAGACAAGGGCGATCTACCTCTGAACGTATGTACTGATGCATCAATTTGAGAGCACACATCTCCCTTCCACCGTTCACTACCCGGTGGGTCGATAGCTGTGAGAGTGCGTACCTTTACTTACAACCCGGGGATAACAAGAAATATTTCCATTACATTCTTCTTGTCCACATTTTATTTCTCCGAATTTTTGCATAATTAAAAAAAAAAATCAAGTGTCGCTAAGATCTAGCCTTCTTTCCTGGATTTTCTTCCCATAAGCTTTTTTTCCGGATCTTTTCTTCCATGGTCTCTTTTTTCATTTTTTTCTGCTGGTTTTTATTTTCTCCATCATTGTTTAAAAAAGAATAAAACGGCAAGAGGCAGAGTAAAAAAAAATATAGGGGACAAGTTTCCGGGTACCGTCTCAACCGTTTTCGCATTATTATTCGGATGGAAATTGTCTATAACAACAACTACCCAGTGAACTGGTGTATGAATAGTTTCATTCACTTGATCGATAATTACTTGAAAATTAGCCTCCATATCTAATAATTGAGGCGTAAATTTGAAGCTAATTTAATATATTTTCACCTGATTATAGAATATCCCTACAAATTTGAACAGAAAACGAGCAAATTTCGTTATTAAGAGGAAAACCATGAAAGTTTTCAAAATGTGACATTCCAACAAAAACAATGATGGTTGCTAGGGGATGGATATTTAATGAAACATTGCAAGTGGTTTGCGACTTTAAGGATCCTCAGCCGCCAGTGCAATTACCAGCCGAGCCGAAGGCGAGATTGGTAAGCACGCGGCTGAGGGTCCTTTATTTTACTTCCAGTGATTAGAACGCGATTTTCCGTCTCGGCGTAGGCGCAAAGTCAGAGTTCCCTCCTGCGAAGCGGGAGGGAAATGTAACTTTGCGCCCGCCGGGACGGAAAATATGTGTTCAAATTATTCAATTTTCTTAGTAAATGACTCATTATTTCTGTAAGAATTTTTTTTTTTTTTTACTAATAAAATCAGCCAATTAAGAATCCGGAAGGGTTCCACCGGATCGGTTACTCGGGCTTTTCCATAACACTGGACCAATGAATCGTATCTTCCGTGGTTTTATTGATTAAGTGACCCTGATGTCTCAACGCTCAACTATATTATCCTTATGTAATGTGATTTTCAAGGTATTTGTCTTATAAATTGTATGTATTGCTTAGTAAAATATAAAATTTCATGTGAAAATTGGTCATTTATCTTGCTCATCGAATCTTATTTGAAAAGGAAATGAATTAATAATTATTAATAATCGCTCTGATAAAATCAATTTTATGGCAAATTTTGTGTATAGGATAATTGACCCTGAAAATCTAAATACGGAGAGCATGTATCCCCCAACTCTAACACAATACAAATACCGCTTACTAGTCACTAGTCCAAACCCACAAGAATTCTTACATGAGTATATATTTCCCCCTTCCTTACTGACATTCATACACAATCTAAGGAGGCCTGATCCTTGGGACTCTCTTATAAATGAAGGTTCAACATAGTCTCAAGTTCCACTTTATCGTGCATCCCCCATGCTGAGAGGGTTTATCCATGTCTTATTTTCCTTTTTTCTCATTTTCAAATAGAATTGGAAAATGTGCTGTGAGATATACAAATAGAATGTTATATTGAATAAACACGTGGTGCGTAAAGGGTTTGGAATTTCAGAGTGGATGAAGTAGTTATTGTGATTTTCATTTATTATTACACTCCAAAGCTTCAAATATCGTAGGTAAGACATTATTTCTCTCATAAGTCCTTTTTTATTGTACGCTTTATTTGTTCTCTCTCTCTCTCACATTGATTAATTGATTGATATTTACTTATTATTATTATAGAGAGATGGAATAAAAATTTAATTACTCTCATGAATTGCTTAAAATGTACTACAATAAAAAGTGAATGTCGTCATAATTGAAACGTATCAATATATGTAAATTAACTTCTCTTGAGTTTTGTTCTGCACGACTGAACAGTCGTTCATATTATAACATTGGCACTTTGGTAACAGAAGAATGTATGACTTACGCTCCTCTGTTAGTAAGCTTACTAGGATATATGCTCCTAGGAGCTGCATTATCAGGGGCACATTTTTATCCCATGGCCAATCCGGATCGTCAAGTCGTCATAACTGTGAGTAATCAACATTCCCCCGCCTAGACCTTGGCCGAAACTACTCCTCTTTCAAACTTGTAATTAAAATCTCATCTTTCTATTTCTACCATTGATAAAAAAAAAAAATATTTATCAAAAAAAGTTTCATTCGATAGTTCAATAAGATGCCTCCTCGAAATTATATGTTACACCGCGGTACTCGTTGTTCGTAGAAATAATGGAACGTATATACAGATTTGCGCCTAGTAATTTTCATCAATTTTTGTCCAACTCGATATATTTTTATTTATTATTTTGCCTTCTCGTCTCCATTATTTCAGTCAATGTCATGACAATTAAACTGCGCGTGCATCGCACAAGCCATACCACAACCCGGGCTACGAGATTATTATTATTATTATTTTTTTTTAAATTCTTTATTGAGGGATAAAAAAGTTAATTATGCCTGATGATGTTATTCTTATTTTTCCGGGTATCATCACCCTTTCACTTTTAATGTTCCTTATTGCACCTTGATTTATGTCTCCTAATGACGAATCAAGAAGATCCATAGCATTCTCTACAACTCTATTATAACAGAGAAATAGAGAGAGCGAGAGACATAGCGTGTTGATGGCAATTATAAATTTAATTCAATCAATGATCATGTACAACATTGTTTGGGTCATTAATTAAATAATAACACATAGATTCTAGAATGAACTTGAAATGTGAAAGACAGTGAAATAATTCTGGTAATTCTTGTTATTTTGGTATGGCATAAAATTAACATCATTATTAAATAATAATTCTGGCTCAAGGCAGTGAGTTCCCACCATGTATAAGACGACAATTTCACATCTACACATACGAATTATCTCTTACCTCTTCATGTGGACAACAATGAGTAATTTTAAAAATTCCGACGACTCATATTGTACAATACAATATGCAATTATTGAAAGAGTTTCTTGAACTCTCATACGTTGATTTACTATATGGTCAAAGTCAAAGTCCTGATTCATCGGTGCACCACAATGCACTGAAGTCAAGGTAACACATATACTCCTTTTAATAATGATTCTTAGTTAATGATTGTGGGAGCCCCTGATCCCCCGGCCTTGAATTACATTTTAGTCATATGTAAAGATAACGAATCTTTTTCTCTCCTTACTTAAAATAGCATTTTCGTATATTATAATCTTCCAATTCAGTAATCCAATCCCCCAAGTTTTTTTTTCTTTGCAATTAATAGCTATTTTCCCAGGCCAGGGAATTAAAGCTTACTATGCAAATTTTTCACTACGTGATTTTGCATAATTAGAAGTAACATCAGGGGTTAGTGGACTTGAAAATTGTGACACACATTGATTTGCTCATTAAAAAGTAAATCAATCATTCATCTCTTAATTGTAAAATCTATATCATATACAATTTGGAAGTAGGAAGTAGGAATATTTCAATAGTAAAATCAATATATTCTATACTTTTATCTGTAAATCATGCAAATTCTCGATTGGTACAGTCGATAACGGTATTCGCAATTATATAACATTGATGGGCAGCCTCATCAATACTACTCAGATTTCAACGTAATTTCATTTTTTTTTCCTTCTCCGTTTTAAGTGCCACTTCCCAATAGAAGAACATTATGCACACACCAACATTTTTTATTCATACAGTCCAGCATGCACCCAATGGATAATCAATTGCCTATCATAGACGGCCGGATTTTCCCTAACGGAATGATTCAATTAAACCGTTAGATTAAAATCGTTGATCAAATCCATTCATCGCATCACGATATCTATCACTCATTTATTCAAATTCATCAAAAGTTACATCAATAACATTTTTCTTCTTCACAATTGCATCGAATATTTTTGTGATGAACAAAAAATTGTAATAAATGTTCCTCACGTGTGGAAGTTGAATTTTTTTCTTCTCTACATAAACGTTTTGATGCATCAGCAGTCCAAGGCAATAGAAAAGACGGATATAGTGACTCAAAATGTGGATATGGAACTATGATAAGTGAAGTTGTTGAATAAATATACATGTTGCTGGGCGGGAATCATCCCTCGATTTCAATTTTCGATAGACGGAGAGAAATATTTAATAAAAATTACGTATCTTTTCCGTAATTCCTGAGCGAAATGTGATTGTAGGAAATTTTACGGAACTGTAATGGAATTTTTCCGGAGCGTTCCGTCATTTTTGTCTGAATCTCTTGTGAAAAATTACGATACCGTCACTTGAATTTTCTGAGTCGATTCCGTAATCGGTGAGTGAAGTGAGAGTTCCGTAATTTTTACTGAACATTTCTCTCCGTGTAGCTGGGGGAATAATTGAAGGAAATTTCGTTAATCTATTGAATTCTTCAATTTTATCTGTTGAATTTGTTTCAGATTAAAAATGATCAACAATTTTGTGCAAAAGTTACAATTTCTTTATAAACCGTATGCCCTGGCAATTGTATCAATTGGATACGTGTTGGGTGAACTGGGGCACTACATGATTGGTAATATTTTTATATAATCGAGCTTTACGCTTCAGATGATTTTCATGTGGATATGTTGTTAATGTCAGGTGTCACAAGCAAGGCGACCGCCGAGGATTTGCATTACGGTGATGTGTCATGTCAATTAAACACATCAGCGTATTCACTTCTTGAGCTTCCAGTTCAATGTGAAGCAGCGAATAATTCCGATTAGTGAGTATTAATAGTAATCTTTCAAATTTCTATTAATGAAAAAAAAAGCAATAATAATAATAATAATAATAATAATAATAATAATGTTTCAAATAATATATTTTCCTAGCTGCCTATCATTAGAAATAAATGGAACACGTTATTGCGAGTGGAATTACAATGGGCTAGGATTAGACTATCAAATTTTGGCTGGGCCAAGTTTTATTGCTGTTTTTACAATCGTAGGTGTAATTCTTGGAATTGTAGCAGACCGATATAACAGGTATATGGATATTATGTATTTATATGAACAAGAGAAAACAAATAATACATTGTAAAATTGCCATGTTTGAATTTTTTTAGAGTAAAAACTCTGGCTGTTTGTACATTAATCTTCAGTATCGCCATTATATTGATGGGCATGGTGAAAGAGTATTGGCAATTGGTGATTTTAAGGATGGTTTTAGCGGCTGGGTAAGTACATTAATTAAGTTACATTAAAGAAGAGAATTTATATAGTGTGTTGCACCATGTTTGTGATGTCATAATATCTGTTTACTGTTGGATCGTAGGTATAAAAAAAATGTTGTTAATTATACAGGGAGGCGGGTTGCAATCCTTTGGCTACGGGTTTGCTATCTGATTGGTTTGAAGAAGAACAGCGTGGACTAGTCATGTCAATTTTCAATTGGGGCATATACGGTGGCTATGGAATTGCATTTCCCATTGGTAGATACGTGCCAGCAATGAATCCTTGGGATTTGGTGCGACGAAAGAAAATTCATACATGAAATAAAAATGAAAGATATCTTGTTTTTTTTTTTTCGTTTCAATGCATTCCATTTAATTGCAATATTTGTAGGGTTGGAGAGCGTGTTATTATGGTGCTGGTATTATAGGAGTTATCATTGCCATTCTGACAGGATTAACATTGGTGGAACCGGCGCGTAAAGCGCTCAGCGGAGATGCAGGTGGAAATGATGGAAAGAAATTATCCATTTGGAAAGTTTTATTGCATCCCAGAATGATTTTGCTTTGTCTCGCAGCGAGTATCAGGCACTGCGGTAAGTAAGACAAAAATAAGAGGATTAAATTGAAATGAAAAAGTTGAAAGAAAATGATAATAATAAATGAAACGATTTTAGGTGGAATGTGCTTCGCTTACAATTGTGACCTCTATTACAGAGACTATTTTCCGGATTATGATTTAAGCTGGTGGTTATTCGCAGTGACAATTGTAGTCGGAAGTATTGGTGTCGTAGTTGGTGGAGTCATCAGTGATAAATTTGTTGCAAAAATGGGTATAAGATCAAGAGTAGCTTGCCTTGCTATTAGTCAATTGATAGCCACTCCATTCGCCTTTGGATCGGTGGCTTTGGAACCACTGGGAGCTATCATCACTCTCGGAATATCATATTTCTTTGGTAATTTCAACTTAAATAATTAATATATTATTCAGTCAACTATTGTGGACATTGGATTTTTCAATTGTCGAATTGTTGTTGCAGCCGAGATGTGGTTTGGAATAGTATTTGCTATTGTTGTTGAAATTGTACCTCTCAGCATGAGATCAACAACCGTTGGTGTCTTTTTATTCGTTATGAATAATATTGGAGGTAATTTACCAATTCTTGTTGAGCCTCTTAGGAGAATTATTGGTTTCCGAGAAAGTCTCTATGTACTCTATGCAGGTTTTTATGGAATAAGTAAGTGAACAAGATTAAACTTGCATATAAATGTAAACGGCTTTATAGAAAATATCATTATTCTCATTCCAAGGTTCTATCATGTTTTTACTTACAATGTTCTTCATGACTGGTCCATCTGTGGAGTCCGATGGAGTAACGACCGAAGACGGCCATGACAATAAAACATTTACCAACGATGATGGCACTGTTCTAGAGTTACCAAGACTTCCCAGCAAACCACAGAATCCTGATCATTCCCGGCTGTGATTTTTCTATCATTCACCAATAAAATTTTAATTTTCTATTTCCAAATACATATATTTAATGTTTCTGTCTGTTTGACTCTTCATAGCCACCTGTCTGTTCTTTACAAACAATATTTACATGTTATTTAATATAAATAACCCAGATATTGAATTTGTAATATACAAAAATATTTGGAAGATAAAAAATACATTCTGAGATCTTGACTTCCATTGAATTATGTAAATATAGGGTCATGTATAAAAAAATGAAATTAAAATCAGCAGAACGGTAATGAATCATGATGAGAAAAACTAATAAATTTTCGTAAAAATATTTACATCTTTTGCTTTCAGCGTAAAAATATATTCTTCGTGACGAGTAAAAATGGTGAATTCCATGAATTTTTTATGAATAATTGACATTCATTTTTCATCCTTGTCATAATTTATATAAATACAAAAATAAATGAATCACATTAACGAGATATAACTCTGTCATGGATGAGAATAATGATTAGAATAGCATTTCTTTAATTCAATACTATTATTGTAATATTTTCTCAGAAAAAAAAAAAAAAAACTAAAAGATGAAACAAAAAAAGGATGAAATTGTCAAACTATTCCATTTTCTAACCATTCTGTCAGATTTTATAAGACAATATATAAAGCAGATAATTGAACTTGAAAATTGAAAATTCATAAAGGATACTTTGGAATTTTGCACCACCACCAGGGTGCGCTTGTCATTTTAATTGTTAAAATCAAATCTTTCAGCAGTCATCAGTAGACGTACTTGATATTTGTGTACTAGCACCACTGGAAAAACTACTTCGGCATGTTTCAACAATTAGAGCTGTCTCTGGTACCTGAATACACTGAACTTTCTCCTTTGGCCACTTGTTCTTAGCATAAATACAATGAAAAATATTAAATCTATTATCAATTTCGCAAGTTGATAAATTTCCACTGTGCCTTCTCTTCAAAATCTTTTTCGCCATCAAAGAACGATTATTTTTATAAGACAACTCTCTTTTAAAGCAAAATAGTTTTTTCAATTCTTTTTTAACACGTTTCGATCGATATCCAAAGAGCATAGGGCTGATGTAAGCCGTTGAAATGAAGAGGCTCAGTGCTAATATGTCTATTTCATGTGGTAAGTTTTTACAAAAATCACATGGTAAATTTCTCAATGTTAATACGAGGTAATATGGTGTCCAACAGATAAGAGTCATCACAATAACGAAAGCACTCACTCTGGCTGCTCTCGTTTCCTCTCTATGTTTGAATAATGAGCCATTGCTGATTCTGTACTTCAATGAGTTGATGTAACTGCTTGTACTCTTGGTACTGGAGACACGATGCAAGGATTCGCGATGAGGAGGAGTGATTGTCACAATGGGTGTGATATTGCCAAGAAAATCATTTGATTGTAAATTTTCCACCGAAAATTTTGAATAAGTGTTGTCCTCGTGAATGTCATTATCATTCAATTGGACATTTGTTGAATCAGTTTTATTTTTTGTCGATTTTCCTGCATGACATGTCTGTTCATCATTTTGCTTGGAGATTGTTTGCATTGTTTGATTCATTAATGAAGAATATGGAATAATAATGCCGTTAGGTGAACCCAAATTTCCATCTTGATCTATACACTCAACATCTTCCAACACCATTGGGAGTTCTTCCTCTTCCTCCTCCTCCTCCTCCTCCTCCTCCTCCACCGCATCGTCATCACCACTGCTCTCACTTTGTACATCGAAATGAGGCAATGTAAACATAATCTCTCCTTCATTCATAAGATCATGGGATGATTTACGTTGTCGCTCATCACCATTTTGAAATTTACTTTTTACGAGTATATCCATGTTCTCGTCATTTCTTTTATCTAAAAATTGAGCTTTCAATATGGAAATAGGGACTCTTTTTATTGTTGCTTCTTTGGTATCATCATTTGATTGTCGCGGTGTAACATAGACTTTTTCCGAGCCGACAGTGAATATTACTGTCGATTGTTCCTCTTGAATTGGTGATGGTTGATTAGCATATTCAGAGAAACCTCTCGGTATTTGACTAGGCGAATTTTCCGTACTTTCATCTATTGACGAGAGACTTGAAATTTTTGTTATTCTACGGAAATCTTCATTTGAGAGATCCTGTTGCACTGGATAATATTCCTCGCTGAAACTTTCGGATGATAGTATTGGTCGGGAGCCAGTTCTTCGAGTTCTCTTGGAATTGTTGTGCGCCGCTGAATATATACTGGTGTAGATCCAACAGACCCCAATAAACGGTAATAAATAAACGAATAGACTGAGTAGAGCCAGAATAAAGCCATATGTCATGGAAATTTCTATTTGTTGGTTATCATTTTTTCTTGTCAAATTTACCATTGATAAATCGAAATTTGTGCTCAAATTCTTTGAAGGGTCCCACTGGTTCGGTTGACAGATTAACCAAAGACTCTTTGGATTTGGATTAAATGCTGCTAGGAGACTGAATGTCAATGATATTATCCAGAGGGAAGTTATTAGAATTCCACATTTCAAGGTATCAATACGTGTGCGATAACGGAGAGGGTCGACTACTGCCAAGTATTGATCTATGGCAATTAGAAGAACTGAGAATACTGAGGATGTAGTAACGAGGGCTGTCGCTCCTTCTGCTAGAGTGCATATACACGGTTTGATTTGTAAAACCGATGCATCCAATATCAGCAAAGGATTCAAGATGCAACAGGTGAGGAGATTGGAAACGATCAGATTCATCACAAATCTAAAATTTAAAAAAAATCAATTCTATTAGTATTCTCTACATACGCGATAAAAAAGTTTTAACATTATTGTGATACTGAGGATAATTATATAACTTCAATTTATAATGGAAATGTTCCCTTAAATGGCTGACAGTGTGTGGAGTATTGAAAATGCAAATTTTGTAAATTTTGGCCACATAGCTTTCATTTTTTCTGGATCATCTAATTTTAGTTTTTCATCTCGTCTGTGATGAGTTGTCTTACCGTTATATATCGGCAAAAATTGTAACCTTGACAAGTTATGAAAGCTACAGTTTATGCTTGTGTAAATATTAGAAGTGAATATTTCTTCAAACACGTGAAGAAATAAGCAGTCGAGCAATTTTTTTTTTCATATATTCGTCATTTATTTCGAGCGTCAACTTCACCAACACTTGTTTTATTTATTTATTTATTTATTTATTCTTTTTTCCATAAAAATCGTTGGAACTAAGTTTTTTGCTTATTTTGTGCTGCTAATGCTATGAATATTTTATGCGTCACTCAATGTTCAAGAGTCAAAACAATGGACCGACCTGTTCGATATTGTTCGAAGACCTGGCCGCTTGAGGAAAGCTAATAGCAGAGTAGAATTCAGGATCAATGCACCAAGCAGTATTAAACTCCATGAGAGAATAGCTATTCCCGATGTATTCCGCCAGTCGTCCAAACGTTTCGGATCTCCTGTTTGTGCTGTCGCTCCTCCATCCATTCATAAATGATACAGACCTGATGGAAAATGAAAAATATGTAATTCATTGAGTATTATGTGAATGTTTTTTTTTCTGGTTATTCATATTGAGAATAATCCCGGTTCCTCTCCTACCTCATCCAATTATTTCCTATGACGTCACAAAGATGTGAAACGCTATACAAAATTCCATTCTTTAATGTTTAATGTATAAAACAACAAACCCATTCACGACTGCTTGGGCTTCTTTATAATGTCAGTAAACTCAATATGAGTGCTTTCAAATACAAATTTGAAAAAAAAATTGGAACAGAGTTGCAGAATTGACTTTGTTATATTAATAAGCAAATTAGAATTTTTTTGATAACTCACCAATGGGTGAAAATTATCGACTTCTGGTTGCAGTACTCGACCAATGTTTAGTCAAATTTTACTCAAAGCGTTAGTCCTACTTTGTACATAATTATCATTACAAATCGGATAGTAAATCACTTGGGGGTTTCTCATAGTTTCATGAATTGTATTCCTTCTTCGTGTTTACTACTCAATAAAAAAAATGAGTAATAAATGTCTGGAAATAGAAAAAAAGTGAAAAATTAATATAAGGGGGAGAAGAGTGACATAATTATTTTCCAAGTGATGCTAGCGAGGGTTGGAGACGAGTTAGATGGCCATTAATAAATAAGTAATCACGTAGACCAACTAAAATGGAAACATTATGACTCATGATTGGTTTTTGTGATCAAATGAGCATATCACTATTTACCAAGAAGGAACTGAGGAATAAATCCATACAAGGAAGCGATTCCAGTGGAGCTTAGTATTATTATTTTATTGATTAATAATAAAATAATGTGTTAATTTACTGGCCACTAAATTTTGTTGGGTTGGTGTTCAATCGGCTCTGTCATCAAGCAGTGGGCTACCTTGAAATTCTTTTATAAACTATTGTATTAATGAAGAATACTGAAAATAAAATAGAAAGCAATGAAAGTATTCCTCTACTATATGTATACATTCGAATTTTCAAATGCAATATCCATTTACCATCGTTATATTGAAAATGAGAGATTATAAATTTTGTAATGCTGGTACGTTGGTTGGAAAAACATTATCACCAGTATGATAGCCATAATGAGATGTATTATTGACAATAATACAAGACTCGATAGAACATTGAGAAATACTGATAGAGCGGGCCGACCGGCCATCATTGTTTCAATAATTAGTCAACGCCTACTCTATTCACGGGTTGTATTATTTTATGCTTTGTGTAACTTTCAATCTGAGCACTTGAATAATAAAAGGAAAAGTTGGCACACATATAAGCAGCACATCTCACTGAATAAGTGGCATTATACGCGAGCGACACAAACTAAATTTTGCATATTTAACGCCAATTGTGAAATTAATAACTTGCGCAACAAATATTTTTATTAATAATGAGTATGGCATTGGCCAGATAAGGGTAGTCAAGAGACGAGACGAACAATTCCAAAATATACATTGCGACAAAAATTCATGTTAAAATTGATAGTTAAATCGTGGAAAAAAACTATGTACTGATATGAGTAAAAGTTTGAAATCTATTAGGCCAACATAGCAATACCACATTGCATACGCCAATTTTGTGTATTTCACTCAGGTCAACTACAGCCAAACGCAGGTTAATCTTGCTATCTAGCTATTTTCGACATGTACTCCTCTTCTCTTCAGATCCATATGGTAATCAATATTTTTCAGACCTACATTAACATAATCAATAAATGAAGATTGTATACTACCATTGGATAGACATTGTTCCCATTATTTATTTTGATGAGATTTAAAAAAAAATCATATTCAGTAATAACATTGAACATTGAACTATAAAATATGATTTTTTGCGATGGAATTATACATCCTCGTTACAATTATACTTACTCCTTAGGATCCAATATATGTTTTCCTTTTTTTAACAAGCAAATTGATTATGTTATTTTTTTAAAAGTTCACTGTTCGTTCCTAAAAGGTTGTGACAAAGTCGAACATTTGTCATGGATCAAAAATTCCATTATCTCTGTTTATAGACAAAGTTATCAAGAATTAAAGTGGATGACAAACGTGTTCCACCCCAGGGATTTATTATTCCCATTGATATAAATAAGATATTTTTTTTTTTAATTTTTTTTTTATCTGGAACAGGTTATTTTGGAAGGAAAGCATAATAGTTATTGTTTGACTAAGAGGAGAAAAAGTTGAAAGTTCAAAATGTTGCAAAGATGAGCAATGTGAAAATGAAGAGAGGATTAAAAAAATAATAAAGTGATGCTTGCCATGCAATATCGAATACCCACCAAATCCGCAGTTTAACTTTTAAATGTTTTGTCGGTGGGCGATTTCACTCTGCAGGTATATATTTTGACTCGTTCACTTTTTTACACAGTTACAAGAGTATACCGACAAAATGTATTTAATACTGAGTTGGGTTACTCTGTCTATTTGACATGCACATTTCAGCCCCCGCACATTCATTCATGAAAAACACAGATAAATAATAAAATAACCCAGAGAAAAAATGATGATAGAAAAAATTGTGCAAGACTTTCCCACAAATTTTAAGAGAAACGAAAAATCAGTTGGATATATACTATTGAAATTATTGGTTTACAATTGATGATGATGGACTAAAATTTAACTGCCTATATCACGCGTGTGTAAACTGCAGCTGCAATAGTGTGTACAATTGCGCGTCTGTGCGGACAGACTCAGCAGCAGACTAATCTGACTGAATCTGACGACGGTAAATGCCGAGTCTATAGCCGAAAGTCCGCGAACATTTGGCCATCTCGGCCTATACTACCTACTACATGGTAGACTTGGTTGTATGTTATATATTGCCCTCTCATTTTTCACCATGTTTTTTCCCTTTCTAACTTTCAGTACGATTCATCGGCCCCGATAAAACTGGCAACTGCGCTTCGTGCATGAATCCGATCGTCGATCGTGTGCTGTTATTATTAATATAGGGGAGGATGGGGCAAAACGGCCCCCCTTCAATCGTCAATATTTTCCGATTCAATAATCCGATTGGGATGAGTTAGAGCTCGTTTTGAAGAATGAAAAATTATCTTCAAAATGAAGTTGAAACTGGGAATTTTCACAATATCATTCACAAGTTATTGACAATTGAAGGGGGGCCGTTTTGCCCCACCCTCCCCTACATATACACAAAACTCGAGAGCTCTTCCATCTTTTACCTTCCCAGCACCAATATTTTGTACACTTATTTTTTTTACTCCTCCTTCTTTTTATTAAATTATACGATAGGATATAGCAGGGTATAGAATTTTTTAAAAATTCTTCTCTCCATTCACCATTACAAGGAGACTAACCAAGTAACTTAACTCTCGTTTAGTATAGGCCGTGTTTAGGGTGGCGTTCATAATAACAAAGTAAATATTCTTTGTTGAGATCAATTGTCTATTCTATAATATTCTCTATCGATGCACTCATTTATCGACTTGCAATTGTCAACGTAATTCAATTACGAAATTTAATTGTATTTCGTAATCGGATAAGGACGATGAGGAGGTCATATCATATTATGAAATGAATAACAGAGATGGGAGAAAAAAATATTGAATCAGCTAATTAGAGAAATTAAGCGAGAGTGAAGAAAATATCAAAATAATTTGAGAATTTCAACATATGATGACTGTAAAAGATTTTTAAAAATAGCCAACACCAGATCCTCTACAATTAACCTGATTCATATATAAGAGATGAAAAAAAAAACTTTTTGTATTGACAAACTATATATTTTTAATGATATATATATATTGTTTTCACTTAAAAACTGGAGAGTCTCAAACCAGTTAGATTATGTTTTCAATCACACCTGTTCCTGCTATAAATAGAACATACGCAGATAAAAAGAAAATAATTAGAATAACGAGAAAAATGTATGTTACATATTTGTCGCTCTCGGGATAATTGAGAGGATTTTTTTCTTGCAGAGGTAAGCTACGTTGATAACAAAATAGGTATGTCACGTGAAAGGAGAAAAAAAATAGCAAAGACATACTAAGTTGTCACATGTTTGAAATAATAGATGCCATATGACGCGAAGAGCCGCGAGAATGGAATTGTGGATTTTTTTTGTTGCATTTCTGTCAGGAAAATTACATGAAAAGAATACACTACTTTGTAATGGAAAAAAATTCTTCTCATTGAATTAATTGAAAATACTATAATGCATTATTTTCAATCAATTAATTTGATAAAAGATGGAAAAACGAGGATGAAACGAGGATTTGATGAAGAAATTCTAGTACTCTTCTCAGAAAGGTAATTCTCTCATCCATATACGTTAATGCCTTACATGATTTTTATGTGAAAGAGTTGTCAAATTGACCATCTCTTTCTATTATACTATACCTGATGAATTCATTGTGTCGGCGGCGCCTGAGTTGGCATACATATATTTATTTATCTAAGCTTCTGCTGGTAATGAGGATTTCTATAATTCATCGATCATAACTTTTGACAAATCATTTGCTATATACTTATGAACATTTTCAAGTAATTACTTGACGAATTCCAGGTGGAAGTTGCTTGGAATGCAGTGAAAACATGCATTTTTCAGCATTTTTTGAGCTTGAGCTGTTAATGAAAGATAATCATGCAACACTTGACAAAAAAAGGAGAATATAATATATATCTCGTTATATATGAATTATAAAGCACTTTTTATTCTTAAATTGTCGGGCGTGCGCACTTTCATTTCCAATATGGATTCCAATTGAGTGGTGCTTTCCGTTTCTCCGAAATATGATACAGTAGTGATGATATCAGGAATAGATGTCAGAAATTGAGAAAAACTTATGACCCATTTGGACATATGAAAAGAGTTGTGGAATAATAATAATAATAATAATAATAAACCATGTCTCGAGAATATCTCTATGCAGTTCAACGGGCTGAACTACTTGGCCAGACCCCACCCAGTCAGGAAGAATGGGAAGCTTCTAACGTCAAAGTAGAAATCAAGGAAGATGATGTTGATAATACTGTGGCTCAAGTAAATTTCTAAATTTCAACACTCTCATCATTAAATAATAAATATATTAATTTTCAAGTGATTTTTTAACTTTTATTAGGATTTGAATGAGGCCGATGAGTCGGCCGCCCGCATTGGGGGTGGTCTTGATGAACTGAATAACATTCTTTCCGCAACGCAGAGGAAAATTAATAGATTCAAGGTATTGACTTATGAATAAGTTTCTCGTGATTGAATATGAAATATGTTATTTCGTTGTTAACAGACTGTTTGCGGGAGCTTGGGAACTTTATTGAAAGTACGGGTTGCTTCACGAGATAATACTCCAGCCGAAATAGCTACTGATGATTCTCAAGATGATTTCCAAAATTTTCAACATGGAACATTAACAGTTGAAACTTCGAATGTTAATGTTGAATCGAGCCCTGTATCTCATAAAAAAATTGATATTAATGAAAAAATGACCTCTCATTTGGATAAGTTAGATTCAATGATCACCAAGGCTGAGCGAGCGCAGGGGAGCATGCAATACCAAACAAAAATGATGAAAAAAATTATCAGCAAATAATCTGTGATCATTCATAAAGTTCAATATTAATTATGATAATTATTTTTTATTGTTATTATTATCATTATGTACTGTGCCGGCGGTGGTCTTTAGCCATCAAGTTTATCAGCTTTTGATGCTTATTACTGTTTCAGCTCGTTGCTATTTACAATTAAACATTTGATAATGTACAATTATAAATAATGTTGGTTAATTAGATATATGTAGAAATATAATTGTTGCAGAATGTTATCATTATAGAAGAAAAAAATAAATGAATATTTAATGCGATGATTATTATGCTTGAAGAAAATAAATTATTTCTTTGAGATCAATGGTACTTATTTTTCATTCACTGCTTTCAATGTGATGGCTTACCCATTTTCCAGCTTTTTAGAAAATTACATTAGAACAAAAATCACTCTTCATCAATCTAACAACAAGTAAAAAAATTAATTCGAGAGTAATATAATGCTTTTCGAAAAATAAATAAAAAACTGAGCAAATCCCATTTCTGAAATTTCATGAATCATTGAGTGAGTAATATGACCGCACCACCACTGAAATGAACAGTCATTGATTTTCTCTCTGCTACGCCCTTTGAGTCCTTTAGTTGTCCTGACAGGGGTGAGTATATGAGTCTGCGCTATTCGATGAAGGCAATTATCCTTCCATGAAAAAAAAAAAACCAAGATGTCTGATTCAAGTAGTGAAATAATCTTCTGACCATTCAGTGTTTCAAGTAGTATATCCATGATCACCTGAAATCCTTCAATCCTTTAACATTTTACCTTTAATATTCTGAAATTGTATTGTTTTCCTTAATTTTTTCAATTTATTTCGCGCTGAAAAATCGAATAGAAATAATGCATTTCGCGCCTACATGTTGCATACCAACTTGTTGCACTCTACTCTCAGCAATGATAATTTTTCCAGTCGAATAACAATATTCATTATTAGTGAATGTTTACATATTTTTCAAACACAATAGAAAAATAATAATAATAATAATAATAATAATAAATATATATAATTTTTATATTTTGCCGTACAATTAATGACATATTGAATCGGATCAATTTTAATTATTGACGATTAGATGAGTGGTCCTTGTTTTGATAGTCTCGTTTAGCTAACATTGAGAAATTGGATGAAGACAATGTAAAATCAATTTTTAGACCACGTATATAGGAGGTATATAGGTCTCGAGGGTCGCGTATCAGAAAGGACAATTACAGAAATGTGTTGTATCGAAGACAAGATTGCAAGAGGTTGTAAGGTTTCTCCTTTCCAGGTTGAATATTTTATTATTTTGACAATTGACTATATTTATAAATATTTATTCATTTTACGTGTTGCTGCATATATACATGTTTAGTTGACTCGTTCTGGACTCGTTCGTAAAAACTCGTTTTAGGAAAAGAAAAATATAGTACGTAAGAAACTACCCGATCGGACATTATTCTTCAAACATTGTTTCAACTACTTGAATGGAAGGAGGAATAAAACAATCATTTCATGAGTCAGTGGAGACTCTACATAGTGACAGTGAATTAAGAGGAAAAAACGTTGTAGTTTCGAGTGCGCTATGTGCTATTGAAGTGTGTGTGTGTGTGTGTGTGTGTGTCTGTTACTTTATTATTGATTCTCAATAAATTTAATAAATGGAATAATTTTCATTGAGAAATATACATTTTTAAATTCATTATTACAGCTTGTGCTGTTTATTTGAGAATATTTTTTTAGTGACTCCTCCAGTGGTCTTTGCCAGTGAATTCAGTCTCTTATTAATAGAAGTATTAACCAGTGCGGGTATCGTAAGATGCATGACTCTCACCGTAATAAAAACCGTATTCTATAAAATATATAATTTTTTAATAATCCGAATGCTTGTGATATCAGTGAAATAAGTGAAGAATCAAAAAACCAACATCCAATTATTGGATAGTGCTGATTTTTCATTGTGTAATAATCATTTTATGGTAGTTCTTTTGATATTTATGTGATTCCAATTTTTCAATTATTCATGTTGTGGGGTAGAATGTAGCGTATTTTATTGAAAAATCATAAATTTTTAATACGTATATTTTTTCACGGTATAACGAAAATGGAAAGATCATGACAACGTAGGTTTTTATAAAGTTCAAGTTTCAAAACAAATTTTTTTCTCATATTGTACAACGTATGCGTCTTCCGAATGTACTGGACGTGACAGTAATTTAAGAGTAGTTTAATTATAAACCACATTCAGGTTTGACTTGTACAGACTGTCGATGATTTCAATTGGAAAAAAAAACAAACAAAAAAAAAAGAAGTCAATACCAATATAAACCAATATCATCCATTAAATTTTCTTTTGCTCATGAATAATAGCATCAATTATGTTTACAGGCAGTGAGGAAAAATTAGAAGAAAATATTTGGGAAATTGAGAAAGCTTGGGACAACACAAACATTCGAGTTGAATAATTTTTGAATTATGCAATTGATCTGACTGAGTGATCGCGAATGTAATGCTGTAATACAGTCGAGTGCTGTTATTACTATTAACTACATATCTATTTGCCATCAGAATTATCAGAACTTGAGATAAAATAATAAAAAAATTTGATAATCATGTACGGATTGATCATCGAAAATTTGGCAGAGTATATTAGACAGGTATACGGTGAAGAAAAATGGGAAGAAATACGACGACAGGCCGCTGTAGATCAGCCGAGTTTCAGTGTTCATCAAGTGTATCCTGAAAATTTAATACCAAGATTGGCAAAAAAGGCAATTCAAGTGAGTTTAATAGCAGTACAATATTATCGATATTATTGGGGAAGAAAAAATGAGTGAAATGATAATGATTACTATATTAGGTTCTTGGAGTATCGGAAAAGGATTTCTTTGATCAGATGGGTGTACATTTTGTGGGATTTGTGGGACAGTACGGATATGATCGTGTTTTATCAGTACTTGGTCGACATGTTCGTGATTTTCTCAATGGGCTTGATAATCTTCATGAATATCTCAAGTTTTCTTATCCTAGAATGCGTGCACCCTCTTTTATTTGTGAAAATGAAACACGTCAAGGTGAGTTTTTATTAAAATTTATTATAATGGCCACCATAATGCCCAAAATGATAATTCAATATGTTTTTACTGTTTACTGTTTTGAGGTTTAACACTACATTATCGGAGTAAACGTCGTGGTTTTGTCTACTACACAATGGGTCAAATTCGAGAAGTAGCCAGGCATTTTTACCACAAGGAATTACAAATTGAACTTGTTAGAGAAGAAGTATTATTTGATACTGTTCACGTTACCTTTCAATTAACATTCGACAATCGAGCATTTACATTTGCATCATTGGCCATGACTCGAGAAGAAAAACATTTACCCATCGGTGCATCTGTTTTATTCGAAATATTTCCTTTTTGCATTGTATTTGGGTATGGCAATTGGAAATTACATTTTCTACAAGTCTCTCTCTCTCTCTCTCTCTTCACTTTTTATGAAAAATTCTCATTATTAAATTTTATCATTTTTCATTTTTATATAGATCTGACATGGTGGTCAGAAGTATTGGCAATTCTTTAATGGTGATTCTCCCTGAATTAATTGGAAAAAAAATAACTCATTGGTTTGATCTTGTTCGACCTTTGATTGCTTTTAAATTTCAATCGGTAAAAAAACTCAATACTCAATACGCAATCTCTTGTTATTTTTAGTATGAATATCTATTAATTCTATTTAATGGTTTTTTTTTAGATATTGAATAGAACCAACAATATATTTGAATTAGTATCTGTGGAGCCGATATTAACGGAACGTCCATCAGACCACAAAAGGAATACTATAATGTTGAGTGACGATAGTCTCAATACCCCGGAGGACAAAACGTTACGATTGAAGGGTCAAATGATTTATATGGATAATTGGAGAATGATGATGTATCTTGGCACACCGGTTATGCCAGATTTGAACGCATTGATTGCCACTGGACTCTATATCAATGATCTTTCAATGCATGATTTTAGCAGGTCCATTTAACATTTAACATTTAACATTTAACATTCAACTATTAATTTTAATGTAAATGACATTTCTCAAAATAATTATATTATTAATCACTGTGTAAAAAATTATCATGATTATCATGATTTTTTTAGAGATTTAATGTTGGCTGGAACACAACAATCAGTAGAATTGAAACTAGCGCTTGATCAGGAACAGCTCAAGAGCAAAAAATTGGAGGAATCGATGCGCAAGTTGGACGAAGAGATGAAACGTACTGATGAATTATTATACCAAATGATACCAAAACAAGTGGCCGATCGTCTACGCAATGGTGAAAGTCCGATAGATACCTGCGAGGTGAGGAAACCTTGCTCAAGAAAATATATCCAACTCAAGTCAATATACAACTAAAAGTTGATGCCTTGTTCTTTATACAGATGTTTGACGCCGTGTCAATTTTATTTTCGGATGTTGTCACTTTTACTGAGATATGTAGTCGCTTAACACCAATGGAGGTTGTATCTATGCTCAATGCCATGTATTCTTTATTCGATACGTTGACCGAAAGGAATCGAGTTTACAAGGTAAAAAGGATGCATTATTTAGGGGATAGTGGAGTGGCAAAATGGAGCAGAGTCAAAAAAAAGTTGACAAATTCTTTTTCAACAACTTTTTCTTATTCTTCGGATTAATGATGAGAATAATAATAATTTTCCATTCTACTGAATGGAATACCTCATACATTACATATATTTGAAAGATGGAAACAATACATTATTATATATACCTAAGGTTGAAACGATTGGAGATGCATACATGGTCGTATCTGGAGCACCATCTAAGGAGACGGACCATGCTGATCGAGTATGTGATATGGCTCTTGATATGGTAGAAGCCATTAAAGATCTCAAAGATCGATCAACAGGTGAAAATCAATCAGTTATTATAATAATATCAATATAATAATAATAATAATAATAATAATAATAATAATAATAAGATTTATAATTTATTTATTGAGACTGTTTTTTTGATTGATTTGTCAGGTGAGCATTTGCAAATTCGCGTAGGTATTCATAGTGGAGCAGTTGTAGCAGGAATAGTGGGTTTAAAAATGCCACGCTATTGTCTTTTTGGTGATTCTGTTAATGTCGCTTCAAGAATGGAAGCAACAAGTGAGGCTATGCAGATACACATATCACAATCAACGAAAGAATTACTTTCCCCTTCGTATAAAGTTAAAGAACGTGGTGAAATTCAAGTTAAAGGGAAAGGATCGATGAAAACATATTGGCTTGAAAAACGAATCTCTCGAATGAGCATTACTAAAAGTGTGATCAATCAGAGGCCTACTGAATGGATGAATACTGCTGAAAAATTAATGTCACCAAGCACTAATGTGGGCAATATCAATACCGTAACATCCAATTCATCAAATAAGTTATTTGATCGCATTCCATACCTGGAAACATCAATAAAAACTTCATCTTCAAAATTATCATCACCTGTTACTCCTTTAAGCTCTACTGCATTAGCATCCGAGGAGAGAAGAATTTATTCTCCAATAACTTTCCAGGATGTTGCGCGACGATCTGTAGCAAATTCCCCAACAAAACATGTAGATACAAGAGGTGAGAAGAGAATTTTGCCTTAAATTGTGGGAACCAAATGATTTTCATTGGATTCTGTTTTAGAAATGCGATCAAATTCCGTTGGTGCAGTGTCATCTTTCACTTGCAGTCCGAAAAATATCTTTGGTTCACTCTTGAATGATACGCATGAACACTTTCGGCAACACCGTGACAAAATGCTCTCCCAAAATCAAGAATCTCCCGCTGTTCACAGCCGGCTTGAAACTAAACATAGTCTAAAGAGCACATCATCGGAGGTTTCAATCGATAGTGCATGCTCCAATAATGAAATTCATCATATAGACGGAGTTTCTTTAAAATCATTAGGTGATAGCGAATTATCCCGAAACATACAACTCCTTGTACGACCAGATCAGTGTTGCCCTGGTTTTCCATTACCAAAACCAGGAAAGGCCAGAAATCAGAGTAATGCTTGTAGCATTTGTTGATTATTTATATAAAAACTCGAAAACACCACAAAATTCAGAAAAAAATGAAAAAAAAAAAACATGTCTGTTTTTGCAAGTGATTAATTGTTTTGTCGTTGACAGATTATTACACCTTTATGAGTCGTAGGACAAACCTATCATTTGTGCTGATATATTAATTATTACATCATAATTATTAAATATATATTCATGATTGTTTGGAAGAAATTAAGCGATATTGAATATTCAGAACATGTTCAAGCGCGGCTAATTTCATAATGTTAGTTATTATTTATTCATGTTTTTTTTTTTTTTCTTTTTTCATTTCTGCCCATCAAGTATTTATAACATTGACCACAGTTGAGGAATGAATTGTAAGGTTGTCTAGATATGAATGGAGAAGATGAATGTTATATACGATTTAAAAGAATACCAGTGTAGTGTATACAATGGGACTGCTAGGTGGCTTGAAAGACTCTGTATTTTTCAAGCTCAGCTCATACAGCCATTGTTATTGTCCAGAAATAATGTCAAGATTCCACCTACATCTTAATATATAAAATAATGAAACAAACAAAAAGGCTAATATTTTTATACTACACATTTGTGGTATCTAATTCGAATCAGTGCATATCTGAGGGTTGTGAAAGGTTGAAACAACGTATTACATATTATTTTTCAATCGAATGAAAATTTCTTCTACGCAGAACAGTGTTCATTTTTTCCATGTTTGAATGGCAATGTACATGTGTATTTTTCTTCTTTTTTCTTCCAATAACCAATATGGAAAAGTAAACTTTGAATATTTCCGTTAGATTGTGATCACGCGTTGCGTTATATGGATGTTGTTGATGCAGTCGAATACAAAACAAATAGTGATGTAGTTGTACGACAAACAGAGCATGTCTTAAGAACAAAAATCAATCAATGTATTCAACAATATAGTAGATGACATATATTGAGCTTCTAAATAAATGGAATAGGATACATGTTCACATTAAGTTGTTATTAAAATTATTCAACATTTGCCTTGTTAAGGGGGTAAATAATGATTATTTGCCATAGTCATAAATAACCCGGGAAAATTACGTAGGTCGGTGGCTATGGTATAATTGAATCAAAATAATGTTGAGGTATCGTGTTGTACGCGCGACCAATCATAATTCAGGTGAGGAAGACTATATTCCAACCGTATAACACTATAACACTACTGGGAATGGTGTATAGTATCCCAACCCGCCTCTGTATTCCTCTGCGCAACAGGAGCTCTCTATATAAGAGTCTCATCTCACCCAACATTCGGGACACACTGTTCAGCCGTCAGCGCATCATCATCATCCTTCGTAATCTTACAATAAGTTGTTGATATTATATTATATAATTTACTTTTGACTCAATCTACAAAGAATCAAATATTAGAGATTCACTTGTGGTTTGATCGCAATGGTGAGTGCGAAGAAATTATTTACATTTTGTCTTTTTGTCTTTCTTCATTTATCCTTCATAATAAGTAGCAATATACAGAGAAGAAGCAGTATTTCTGCAATGGGTTTTTTAACAAAAATCGAGAAGGAGAATGTATAGTAGTGCAAAGATAAATACCATTACCAGAATAACTTGTTGTGAGTGCAATAAGGGAGATATGTTGAAAAAAAAAAAAA